GAAATCATATCGGCGCCCGAAAAGAAAAACAGCGCCTGGTAATAACCCGAAATTTTATGATAACGAGCAAGAAAAATTTATTATTTAAACACTCTGAGCAGCTTTCCAAACAAACCGGATATCTCCGGGTCATAAAAAACACCGCTTATAAAAATTAGAGCAACCGGCGCAAATAGAAACTCCGGCGCCACGAGCAATTTTATTATAAGCAAACAGCAAAGGATCTATGTGGCGTGATAAAAAAAAAACAACACTCTCCCTTTTCCTTTCTCCGAAAAATCGGACGAGCCAACCGAGGCGAGAAATCGTCACCGATTGACGATCTCACGAAGTTTACCCGACCACTAACTAACAAATAAAAACTGGCAAAGCTCGACTGAGTTTTTTGATTGGGAGAGTCCTCGCTTACTCAAAATTGTATATAAGCCAGGACTCTCAGAACCGAAGTCAGTTGAGAGCCGCTAATCTAAAAGGTCGGGAGTGTCGTGGTACAAAGAGTTTGAAAAGTTCGGTGCCGTGAGTGCCAAAACCGGGACACCGAAGCCGCACTGGTATTCAACGCTCCACTCCCGAGTACCTGCAGCCAACCCGACACCGCCGCCACTCAACCATGTAGTAAGTGTTTTTTTAAGAAATCAATTGTTCCCTAAGATCCCACGAACTAGAAATAGAGATTGAGGAAAAGAGAGAAAAACGATAAAGTCTCGCACGAATTAGACACAGCAGCCGCGGTACTGAACAGTTTAAGATAGCCTCTCCCCTCTTTCCTTGATCAGAGAGGATATCTGCGATTCTGAATCGCTCCGGATGACTGCTGACAGGCGTCCGCGATTTTGAATCGCTCCGGACGACTTCTGACAGGCATCCGCGGTTTTTGAATGGCTCTGNATAACCTCTGACTTCCTTCCTAAATCACGGAAACGAACAAGCCCGCTTATCTCCGAATATCAGTCGTAGAACCATGACATATTTAAATTTATTCCTAGCATTAAATCTATCAGAATCTAAGAAATGAAACATAACCGAATTTGTCAATTGACATGAGGAAATACATTTCTAAGATGATCTAAGTTGCGTAAACATGGGTCAAAGAGGCTGGCTGTACTAAACAACTCGTATTCCCCTTCTCTCTCACACTTGCACCCTAGCTTATAGATTACTTTGTACGAAACGATTATCCGTCATTGTATTAGTTTCAACACATCTGTATGTTAGTAATTTGCTAAGATTTCGATTTGTCTTTTTTTAAATAAATATAACTACTTTATAATGTGTGGAATCAAACTAAAGAATTATTCTTTGTTATCCTTCTTTCCGTACTACCCACTCTCACTTTCTCGTTAAAATTGCTAGGTCTCGTCCTTGGTAAATGAGATTTGCGTCTCAGATCTAAAAAGGGATCAACGAGTGAGAGTTCGCTAGACAGAGTAAGATCGGCGTACGCCGTTGACCTGTCGACGAACATAAACAAACTCGCTCGATTCTCTTACAGCGGGACTTCCGCGTCCACTGTAAAGAGAGATATGGAAAACGACGCGTTTACTGTTGCGTCACACCACAGCCCGACCGTATCCATAGGCCAGGACGTAACAATTGAATTTGATGAGAGACACCGAATCTTTACACGATACACATACATATCTATTCTAGATAAAATATAATATTAATGGTAGAAAGAGATGTGTCTTGCGTCGAATCCAAGCTATTCCTAGTAGACTCAGTATCTAACTTGCGTTCATATAGACGTGACATACTAAGATACTCAATTGTTAGATCAATAGTGATAGTGATGATTGATATGATCTTAATTTCTATATTATATTTTATTTTAACTTCTAACACAAGTTTTATAGTATAATTGTGACAACTTAGAGCGTAAATAATTTGTAATGTACATACCATGGTATGTAATTCTAATATTTCAAATGCGTTAATCCATAATCTTTCATAATTAACACTTGTATTAATATTGTCAACAACAATTGTCAGAAACAATTGATAAGAACTAAAATTATAGTCGAAACGTTTTGACACAACTTAAATTACATTTATTTCCTGCACAACATCCTGCACGGGCTCTACATATAGCCGTTTATTTCAAATTTAACATTGGAATTTAAATTTAATTTAATTTGAAAATTTACATAAGATGCTTAGTTTGCATCACATACATGTAAATTACCTAATTTATTTCTGTTCTTTCTCTGATGGAAATTAAAAACTCTATTAAATAAAAGACATTTCATTTCAGAGTCGAATCCGGATCTCCCGCATTCTATGTAAATGCCTTCTCAATTCGAACCGAATTCCCTGCCTAGACCAAACAGGTTGCTTTGAAATCACCGACAATCATTTCAACGACAACGTTTTCATTGACACAAATTCACCGACAATTATTTCACCGACAATGTTTATTTACCGATACATTAAAATCACCGACAATGTTTTCATCAACAATGATTTTACCGACAATATATATTTTCTATCGCCATATATTGTTGCCGGCGATACGTTGAATNTTTATGTACATATTTATTTTCTCGTATAAAGAAATATATACGAAAAAATTAATAAGGTATAAATATTAAAAGTTATTGTATTTGCACTCTTACTTTATTAATCACCATAAGTTACATTAATAATTGGAAATGTTGGTAATTAAGAATAAATATATATATTAAGTAGATATTAACTAAATTATTAAATTAATTATTATCTTAATTATTGTCCATAAAAACATTATCGGTGAAATCATTGTTGGTGAAAACATTGTCGGTGATTTCAATGTGTTGGTAAATAAACATTGTCGGTGAAATAATTATCGGTGAATTTGTGTCAATGAAAACATTGTCGGTGAAATGATTGTCGGTGATTTCAAGGTAACCCAGGCCAAACAACATATATTAGCTCATATTGGCCTTCATTATTAGTTCGTACTATATTCTTTATCCACAAATTATTTACAAACGGTTTTGTTTTTATTTTTTTATTTTCTTCAATATACATAAATTTTTAATATAATAATTAGTAATACTTATATACTTTATAATAATACTTGTATACTTTGATAATGGAATAGTGCAGAGACATTCTTTTTAAAATAAGATATAATCCCACACAGTCATCCATCCATCCAGACATCTATTAGATGTCGCATGGAGCTGTCGACGTCTAATAGACGGCAGCGACATTTACCGGGGTCAGGGGGACCACCACATCCCTCACACGCACTTCAGCGTGCTTGACGGGACGCGTGAACTTTACTTCCGTTTGGCCTCGGAAAACCTCCGACACTCTCTTAACGAGGGTGTCAGCCTTGGCCTCTCCTCCAGGCTCGGGGATCTGCAAAAGGATCCCCCCGTTAAGTACCTTTTTTACACGGACGCCGGATATACCGACGTCCTGTAAGTTCACCGCCGCCGCCGCCTTACGCATCACGTCGGCATAACTGCCACCTGACTCCACCGTGACAAGGACGGCGGCCCCACTCGGGGCGCGCCCCAATTTCGCCCTGTCCGCCTTTCTGAGCTGCTGTGCAGAAGGTCTCCGTCCCGCATCTGGAGGAGAGGGGTCCCTCCTGGACTGGGCGTTTTTACGCCCCTTCCGTCCCACCACCGTAGCCCAGGTGGTGCGCTGTCCTTACTCTGGATGCACGCTGATTAGCGGATCTTTATTCACTAATATTTTGTTAATTAGTGCGAATTTTCCAAAGTGGTATAAGATTTTTCGTCTTAGAATAACTTCTTCTACCTATCTACAAGCGGAGAAACGGTACTTATCAAACACCCTGTATATACATTCTCACATTTTCCGCACAATACTCTGCGAACGGCTCTATATGACCTTATATTTATATATTAATTTAAAAACTATAGAATCTGAGAGTAATCTCTGTTTATCACTTTTAATTTTTATTAATTTGAATTAATTTGAAATAATTTTGCAATGCTTTGATTCTCAACATATTTTAACTTTTTTTAAGCGTCATCAGGAAAGATTTTATTTTATTATTTTATTAAAGAAAACATTTGTTAATATCTTGTCATTCTTTTATATCATATTTTTATACATATTTCGATTACATAATTTATTTTGTATTTATTAGGTAATTGTTCTTCATTAAAGCTTCTCGTTTTTTATAAATTCTGATCCGCTGACGATTTTACATCGTATTCTCTTTAAAAACCGTTGTATAATTAATTTAGTTTGCACTTTTAAAAAAACTCGAAAGAAATCAACGTGGGCAATTTACATAAACTGTCCACACAGAACATTTAATACAAATGCATGAAATATTTATCAAATGTCACATAAAGTCATGGATGTTGTTTGTATGGATATTTGTTCTCTGTAAATGTTTACTCAGTTTTCCAGTTTTTAATTAAATACATATGACAGCAACATATAAATATTCTTCTTGTTCTTACTACGTTTTAGTATTTTATTTTGTGTGATGTAAGACGTATAAAAGCAGCTACACTGATCAATCGACGCCAGATCTCGAGTTATCTCAGACAGTGAAGACAATGACACGGCTAATAGCTTACGTTGTGGCGACCATCAGTATCGCGCTGATGTGCGTTCTCGCAGAAGAAGAGAAATATACTGATAAATACGATCATATCGATGTTATTAGTATACTCTCAAACGAGAAACTGCGACTTCAATATTACAAATGTTTTATGGAAATTGGACCATGTAGAACAGCAGATGCGAAATTTCTTAAAGGTATGTCATTCACAAAAATAAGAATAATCTTATATTTGTCTCCGCGCAATTTTTAGGTATTTCCAAGTCTGAAAAAAATAGCTTGATAAACATTTTTTTTGAACAACAACTTTTGCATACATCTCTATGCTATTTTACAATACAATTATATTTAAGCGTTTTACTCTTGAGAATATACACATCACTTTTTTCATATATCTTTTATACATAAACAATTTTACTTACTTATAATATAAACACACATAAGAGAATCTCGAAAATTAAAAAGGTTGTGGTACGGTATGACTCAACCAGAATTCAGGAGTGACACTGCACATGATGAAAGATTATTACATAAGGAACATGTATATCAAGTTTGGATAGCGGCACATTGAAGATACTGGAGATATAAAGAGCAAAAACATGTTTAAAAAAAAGAGTTTTTCACGATTATCTCCGAAAGTATTCACATAATAGAAAAAGTTTTCAACCAAAAAATATAGAAAATTAAATTTTCCATAAAAAAGNTTATAATCTTCATTTACATAACTTGAACCGTTTTCATGGTAAAACAATGAGAGCTAATACTGAGAGTTTTTTCCAATTATCTCCGCAATTACTCACATTATGAAAAGGTTACAAATAAAAAATATAGGAAATTAATTATGTAAAGATAAGTGAATGTAGCTTCAAGAATTTTTAATAGACAAATGTATTCTGGCTATCGAAGCAAAATACTGTTATTGATGTGTGAATGTTTAAATATATTTATTAAAACTTAGTGGCATAAACGCTTTCGACCTTGTATTAGGTCCTTATCAAATGCATTTCTACAATTAAATCAACATAAAATCCAATTAATTTTTAATTAATTAATTTCCTTAGTTTTATTAATTGGATTTTATGTTAATTTAATTGTAGAAATGCATTTGATAAGGACCTAATACAAGGTCAAAAGCGTTTATGCCACTAAGTTTTAAACATATTTAAACATTCACACATCAATAACAGTGTTTTGCTTCGATAGCCAGAATACATTTGTCTATAAGAAATTAAATTTTCCACAAAAAACATTATTACCTTTATTCATGTAATTCCAACCGTTTTTATGGTAGAACGCTGAGAACGAGATAAAGTTGCACAATAAGCTACTTTCTCTTTTTTTATCTTTGTGGAACTTGGTCTTTATGTATTTTTAGTCGCCGAAAATGAATGTAAAAAAATTTTTTGTCATCGGACATATTCAAGCTGCCATGTTGAAAAAACACGTAACACTGCTTTTTTCACGATTAATCTGACGGTACAGGTGGAAAGGCGAATGCTCCTTCTGATGGAGCCTACACACTTACAATACAAACATAAAACTATTTTTTTTATAAAAAAATAAAAATACTTTTTTTATGTTGTTAACGTTCCATGTTGTAAGTGTGTATAGGCAAGAAGAGAAACTCCGCCCCCTGCAAAGAAAGGGGCTCTCCCTGCACTTTCCCGATTAATCGTGAAAATTGTACTATTCTACGTAATTTTTAATGGAAAAGAAACAAGTTATAGGCACACATACTTTGCGGATACTAATTAAAACCAAAATATCAAAGTTTTATGTATTTTGATTTCAGAAGTTTTCAGTGAAGCTTTCCAAACTAAATGCAAAAGATGTACTGATAGACAAAAAGAAATGTTGGATGAAATAGTTGGTTGGTACACAGAGCATCAACCCGAAGAATTTAAAACTATTATTGCGAAGACCGTGGAAAGTTTAAAACAAAAGAATGCTGATCGATAATTATGATGAATAAACGCGAACAGAATTGATTCGACTACGATAAGAAACTTTACTATTTATACTATAAAATATTTACACAATATTTAATTATCAAATCTGTATAGATCTTTGGCTTTATATTCAAAAAATATGATTGTTACATGGTTGTATTTTGTGGTATTATATTGCGGAAATAAAATGTAGAAATGTATTCTTTAATTTGTATTGTGTTTTTGATAATTTAGATAGATAACTATAGTTTGTTCTAATCCTTCTCTAAAAGAACTAATAATATCGCAAATGAGAGTAAAATCCATTAGACATCTAGAAACGTCCGTTACTTTATGTGAAATCTAGTGAGCATCTAATGAAGATTTGTGTAGAATGTTGTTCGGTATAGGTAAATATTATATTGTAAATGTAAATTATAAAAAGTTTTTATTCAAATTAGATTTAATTTGAATATATTTATATAGCATTTCTGGTATTTTGTGTATCTCTCTTCCTCTCAAATATAGAAAACTTTCACAAAAAATCCTTTCTCTAAAAAATTACTAAGAACGCGTTTGCTTTTATTGGTATGTCTTTATTACTCTTTCAATGTAGAACAATGATCGACTCTCAAAACATGCGAACGTCCAAGGTAAACATATAAGTGATTATGATAATTAACCTTTATTAACTTTAAATTAAGTCATGCAAAACCTAACATAATCGGTTTTTCTTTAGTAATAAGTTTTTGTATATAATTTATAATTACTTTGTAACATGTATAATTTATTAGAAGTATTATAAAAAATATGTTTTGTTGAAAATAATTTGTTTTGTTTTCTTTATTTTATCTTTATTGAGTAATCTGATACTTGTATAATAATAAGAAAATATGATGTGGGGCAACACCAGAGATGTGCATTATTTGAAATGGATGCATTTAAAATAGAAATGCAAAATGTAAAATGCCTATTTTGTATTTTATATTTAAAATATATTTTTTCAAAACCTATTTTACATTTCCATTTAAATGGCTTT